GTGTACAAGATTACATGATATACAAAACAAAATTGAAAAAACCTAAATCCCTAATCCCAATTCGCTTCCTCTGTCTTCTTCCTTCACTTCAACATTTCTCCACTTCTTCTGCCATTTCTTCCTTCGTCATCTCTTATATATCCTCAGCTTCTTCGTTTTCCATCTCTTTACTCTTCTCTGCTTTTCTACAAAAACAAAAACAAACAAAAATGTTAAAACGTTAGAAGAGAATCCTCACGATTTGAGGTGCTTTTTCCGCAGATCCGAAGGCAATGAGGATGGGAGGATTTCCAGCGATGGAGGTGCGAAGGGTGGATTGCTTGCGGTTGACGGTAGTTGCGGCTTTCGTCGGTGTTTAAATGGTAGCGGCGGAACTCAGAGTATCTCCGGCGTAGCAACGTTTACGATATTTCAGATGAGTTCCCCCTCTTTGATTTCTGGCTATATTCCCTTTTGTTGGTTATGTTTGCTTTTCTTTTGATGTTATGAAATTTTCTACCATTTTTAAAATACTGTCCCTTTGAATCTAGAATCCTTCTCCTTTTATAGTTGTACGATTTTTCTTCTGATTAACTCCTTATAAATTTCTTCCAAATTTGCAATGAGCATGTCCGGATATTGTTTTGGCAAGTCATGAATACTTGGATTGTTGTAAATGATTTTTCCAAGTTTGACTTGAACGTGTTGAGACATGTTCTTGTATGTTAGGAAAGAATGCGATCCTATTTGATTTAATCCTGTTGACTGTGTTGAAAGGTAGTAAATGTTGATTCAGTATGATTCTTTCTAACCAAAGTGTGTGTTTGTATCCTTATCCCCAGGTTTCGTGTTGAGCTTAATCGGGAAAGAATACTGCTTGTTGGAAGCGCGTTTTGGATGCCGGTTGCTGCCAATTGACTTTTCAAATTATGTCGGTAAGCCTTCACCATCGACGATTCATCACAAGGTCTTTCCAAAAGCAATCTAAAAGAGAAACATAAATTTGTGAACTTTGAATCGTACTATCTTTAACTGTCTTCTTTATGTGCAGGTTGACGAAGCCTTTCTCTTGGACTTGTAGGTCTTGACAGCTCTGGGAGGCGGACGGGATGTTCCCTCGGAATTTATTCGAACAACTTCTGTAACTGTCGCTTATCAACTGCCGACCGAGAGTCAATGGTATGACTTGCTTCGAACCCATATCAAATCAAAGAAAGATTGATTGCCTGCTAACGTCGATTCTGCTGCAGGTTCGATGACAGCTTGGATTAGGTTTGGGAAAAGCTGACTGGGTCGTACCACCACTGCCGGCAAGTGCTTCGAAAATATGCTCATTTTGCATAATTCTCTTGTGAAAATAGTAGTCTAAGCTGGTAGCACTGCGAGGAATTCAAATCTGATTGAAGTCTTCACAAGTTGTTCCGAGGTTGTGTTGACTACTATTGTGTTGTTTTCAGGAGAAAGTCACGAAATGAGGTATTCGAGAGTGCTGTATGTGCAAAGCACTGGTTTTCTTAATATGTCCACCCTCTCGCAGTCGCAGAAGTCTTAAGCTCCAGGTCATCGTCGGAGAAAAAAAAAGGTGCAATCAAAGGTTTTGGTGCGTGGCGTTTAGACCTGGATGGTTTCTGAAGCAACGCGTTTCGGGTAGGAATTTTTTACTGCATCTTCCTGAATTATGTTTTAATTTCCCCTTGACCAAAACCATAATGTAATTCTTTGCCCTACTAATGCTTGATTGCTTCGAACAAGTGATACCCCCACCGGTCCTTCCGTCTTGAGTGCTAACAAATTGCTTTTGTCATACCTAGGTTGTCAAGGACAAAAAAGAGTTACAACTCTCACCGAATGAACCTCTACGAATTGGCAGATGTTGTGAATTGCAGTAGCTACGGCGAAGTTGATGGAATGGGAATTAACTTTGAGCTGGTTGTGTCAGAAAAATATAACTCAGGGTGCTATCACGCCTTCATTCAGAAAGCTGAACTTGTCCTGCTGTGGGGAACCACACGTAGTCGTAGTCAAGATGTAATTGACCCAATTTCTGATATTTCTGTTATTATCCCTTGTATGTCTTGTAACTTTCCAAAGTTTCAAAATTCAATGCCTTGCATTGTAAATACTTGTATTAGTTTTAAAAAAAAAACTATTATGAAATCCTTGTGTTGGTACAACAGTAGCAGCAATATCTTAAATACAAAGTCTCATAAGTCACTTGATTGAATTCCTTGACTTTTATGTATGGCATCTTGTAAATTATGTCCTTAATTACCCTTCTCGGCAAAACGTGGATAGAATAAAAACGATGGACTAGGAAATCAAATGTCCACTTGTTGCATTGCTAAATTGTTGAATTCTCTATCGTTGTAATATTAATGCTCACAACAGTCCTCTAATAATTAGCCATGTGATTTGGTCACGTGCAGTAGAGTAATACACAGTAGTAATTGCTTTTCCTCAGTCAACCCTGGAAAAGGCCACTTCAACATGAGCTCCTCAATAACTTAATCATCAACAACAAGTATTCACTCCTTCACCATGATGACGTTCTTGATGTGAACCAAATATCAATCATAATGAAACAAACTCTAATGAATGGTAACTTGGACGAATTTTAACATAGTTGGAAGTTTAATTCCTTAAAGGTGTTCCTTGCCAAGACTCAGTTCAAGATCTCATGCAATCTTAACATCTCGAAACAAATTGATCATAAACCACCATTAAGGACATCCCCAATTTCTCCTTGAAAATAATGACACAACCTGCTAGGTAGCCCCTCATGGGAATCATAATAGGCCTCAAACGCTTGCGCACTGAAGTACTTAGCTGTAAGGGTCTACACTTGTCATTATCGCACCTGCACCAACTGGTTAGTTATAATAAACATACATATAAAAAGCAAGAAAAATAACACGTAAGAAAATGTGCAAGAAGGTGGGATCTTAAGGTCAAAAATTAGGGTGTAACAGGTGCGAGACACGTCGCAATGCATGTGACAATAGTTGAGTGTTTCCACCTCCCAACCTTCTGACAAACTCTGCAAAAGTCTACATTGAATTAGCTTGTCTGAACCTTCAAATTTTTTAAATTTTAAAATTTTATTTGCGAGGTGAATAACATCTCTTAAAAATTTATTTGCGAGGTGATTAACATCTCTTAAAGCATCTAACAAAATGTAGAGAACAAAACCTCGAGTCCATTTCGTTTACGTAAAGTATCAAAACCAAAAACAAGTTCAAACAAAATACGTTATCAAAGACCTGCATGTTTTTCCTATGAAATTGAAATACTAAATGACAGAGTAAAAGAAGTTAACTCCTCAATTCATGTGAACCTGGTCAAATGTGTCTCTCTTTTAATTATACTTCTCCACTTTATAAAGAAAATTCTTTACGATCCATAAAAAACAAAATAAAAAATAAATAAATATATTAATTTTAATAATAAAAATAATATCATTTATTAGATAAATATTAATTGCAGCTAAGTAAATGAGAATTAGTACCTAAATAAAAAATATAGTGTAAAATAAAACTGTTTTACTAAAATTTTAAAGACAAATTCTATAAGACAGAAATGAATGGTATCATTCTTTTAGTGCTCCACTAATAAAAATATAATTTGGTAATTATATATATATATATATATATATATATATATATATATATATATATATATATATATATATATATATATATATATATATATATATATATATATTAATTAACAATTAATTTTTAAAATTTACAAGAGATAATTTTGTTGAAAAAATCAAACATAAAAAAAGAGAACACAAACAAACATAAATGATTAAAAGAAAATAACACTATATAAAAATTATTATAATATTGTACTGTATTAACCATTTTTTTAATTTTTTTCAAAATTAAGGAGCCAGTTGTAAAAAACCATCCTAAAGACTGTTGCATTGTTATAATATATAGACTGTATTAACAATATTTCAATTTTTTCAAAAATTAAGGAACCAGTTGTAAAAAACCATCCTAAAAACTGTTGCAATATTTAAGGGAAGGAAGTTTTAGTAGAGCTGTCACAAGTGATGTCTTGTAAATCAAATATTTTCTTGTAGTGTATCGTCAACTACCTCTAAAAATCAATTACATTTATACTTTTTAAAGTCGGTAAATATAAGATAAAATATAAATAAAATTTAAAGTATTTTTAGGCATGCATTTTATAATGAAAAATTTGAGTTTTGTTATATTATCTTGTACTCTCTTATTTTACAAAATTAAATAATGTATAATAGAAAACGTATAAGTTACTCTCTCTATCTTAAAAAAAATCTATAAGTATATACTTTGTTTTAAGTTTTAATCAAATTTGTTGTTTTAATAAAATAAAAGATTAATTAATATCAATAAATGTTCTGAAAATTTGAAAATTTGAAAATTATATATATATATATATATATATATATATATATATATATATATATATATATATATATATATATATATATATATATATATATATATATATATATATATATATATATATATATATATATATATATATATATATATATATATATAATTTTAACTAAATTTATATGTAAAATATAAATATTAATGACTCTTCCATTTTTTTTCATTAACCAGAATAAATTTTGAAAATAGATTTTTTTTAATAAAAGAAAGAAGAAAAATTATACACAATGAACAAACTCCTTACCGGTTAAGTCTACGTCGTAGGGATAAACAAACTACAGAAGTTATAATGTTAGATTGAGAAGTCTAATAAACGCCATGAATATGAACGTTATGTTTTCCATGTTTCACTCGTAAATATTGAAATGTTGATGAACGAAACCTATACTTTCCTGGTATTACTGAATAACCGAAAGATACAAACAAAATTTAGTGATTGTTGATAAATTAATTTGTCTCCATTCTAGTCAAACATCCTTTATAAATTTGAGTGCAAGTAAGTGCAAATTCACATCAACAAAGTTCAGATTTTTAATAGCATTCAACTTAAACCAAATCAGAAGCAAGAAAATGGATCGGAACTTCATCGGAGCTAATCCTGCTACGACGGAGAACCACCACCACACTTCCAATTCTGCTATCACCGCCGATTTTGACGAAATGTTGGATAACTTACTTCGGCTGGATCTTAGTGAGTTCGATTTCAGCCTCTTCGACATCCCATTACCGCCTTCGTCACAGCAGCCGGTAACTGGTGAGATGCCTGTCGATCCAGTTCTTGCACCGGCGCAGCCGCCACAGCTTCCGAACATCTCAGAGGCATCTGATAATGCTAATGTGATCGAAATGAACAGTGCCCTACCAGCATGCGGCGGAAACCGTGGTGGAGAGAGTGTATTACGCCCCCGTCGTGACAGCAGCCGTGTTTGTCTTGGCAGCGGGTCCTCAGGAACATCGTCTTATAAGAAGAGGACGGTTATACCCCCGGAAAAGCTTGCGGAACTTGAAATTGCAGATCCCAAAAAAGCACAGAGGTTTAACAAAACTATATAATTATGTTATTTATTTTTAATTATTATAATCTTTTTGTGAATCAATTTTTAACAAAATTTTAAGCTAAAAAGATAGAATTAGTTTTTAAATTCATTAATATTCTCTTCACTATTAAGTGCTTAGGTTTGAATCTGATAGTAGAAAATTGAATTTTTGCAAAGATTTTGGATCAACTTAGTAATTTTTCCTGCATGAAAATTTGATTGTTTTCTCCTTTTTTGTTTAAATTATGATTTGTTTAACAAGAACTTAAACAAATTATATGATGTTAATGCTTGGATCATGTAGGATTATTGCCAATAGGATTTCTGCTAAAATATCCAAGGAGAAGAAAAAGAACTATGAAAAAGAGTTGGAAAAGAGAGTTCAATTACTTCAAATTAAAGCGGATAGTGTAACTGCTGAGCGTATGATGGCGATGGTAAAAATCTAATCTTAAATTCATTTTAAAGATCTCTATATATTAGAATGTTTCTTACATGGTAACGAAGCTATGCAATTATGTATACACATAAGATATGGAAAAGGAATTATGATCAAAAGGAATATGATTTTCATTTCTAGGGTTTGTTTAAAGCATTAATTAATATCTCATGTGATGTAGAATGAAGCTATGAAATTAGCTGCTGAGTACAAGAGAATCAAAGACCTCATACAGTCTAAATTACAGCATCAAGAACAGCAAAGAGGTATTTTTTTCACTAGTCGTTTCACATTCAATTTAACTATGTGTATCACTTTCCTAAATTTAAAGCATTAATTAATTTAAGATTATTATCATTCTCATTATAAATATTGTGCGTAAATATTGTCATGGATATATTATAAACACTTTTTGTACTTGCAGCTGTCATTGAATTGATGAAGGAAGAAGCAAATATGCTTGAGATGCAAATTCATGAAATGAATACAGCAATGGCTGATTTGTCTTTTGGTGAACCAGGCTCTCAATCCCAACTTCAGGTTCCTCATCAGCCAGAACTCTACATACCGCCACAGCCGCTTCTGGTTCCTCCTCCACCATCATTCGGCGAGCCTTTACTTCCTCTTCCACCATCTTCCTTTGGCGAGCCTTTACTTCCTCCTCCGCCGTCTTCCTTTGGCGAGCCTCTACTTCCTCCTCCACCATCTTCCTTTGGCGAGCCTTTACTTCCTCCTCCGCCATCTCCGTTTGGCGAGCGGTTAGTTCCTCCTCCGCAATCTCCCTTTGGTGAGCCTTTTAGTGACCATTTTATTGGCGGCGACTTTTTAAAAAATACATGGAACTAGTATAATTTTGGAGGTGGGGGTAATCATCATTCATCACCAGTAACATCTTTTGTGTATTAGGATATATATATATATATATATATATATATATATATATATATATATATATATATATATATATATATATATATATATATATATATATATATATATATATATATATATATATATATATATATATATATATATATATATATATATATATATATATATATATATATGGGTGAAGCTTGTGAAAGACATTTTTCTGATGCACTTTGTTGGAGCATGAATAAGCTAAACATTAGAACTTGTAAGAGATTCTGATATTTTATCTTATCCCAAAAACTTTACATTATTATGAATATTTTTTATATTTCTAATTGATTAGAGACTAATAGCTCATAGTTGAATTCCAACCCATTTTATGCATTTTTAGGTTTAACTATATAATTTTTGTTTTGAAAAACAATATCTTAAAATAAAGTATAAATATTTTTTCTTTTATAATCAATAAACACATAAGGATTAAGGTTAATGGAAAAATAAAAAGAAGAATAAGAAGGACTTGTTATAACTGTTATTTTCTTTAAACTGATTACAAGTATTCAAGAATAACAAATAACTCCCTCACCCTAATTAGGATTTGCCACACTTAAGTTGAAAGACTAGTATGCTATTTATAATAAAACCTAACATATCAAACTAATGAAATTTTTAACAATTATCCATTACAAGCTAACTTAGGGTACAAGGTAACTTAAACAATTGGATCATTAACACAAGGTCCAATTCGACAATTACATACTAGAAAACATTTTGACTACTACATGTAGGTCTTCGACAACAACATGTAAGCAGACTTTGACGACATGCTAAACCTCTGTCGACAATACTAGAGTTTGATCCAACATTTCACATCTTCTTTATTAATAGCAAACGAATTTTTATTTTTAAATACAAGAGAGTACAATGAGTATTCTCACTATTTGAAATCCATAATAACACGAACCTCAGAAACTCGTACTTATTTCATGACTCAACCGATAAGATTTTTCAAGACGATGGATTTATTGGAGAGAGAAAAGTTTCTAGCGTTTAAAAAAATAATCAATAAAGCAATGATATCCAATTTTTTTTTGTTTTGAAAAAATGACAAAGGATCATTCCGGCGAAACTGTAACCGGTGATTTTCTTGAAGAAAAACAAATGGGAGAAAAACTTTTCCTTGCTAATTAGCTAATTTCCCCATGACACCATTCGTTTTGTTTTGGAGAAGTTGATTTTAAGGAATCAAACGATGTTTATACCGGATAGACAATTACTTGACGGGGTGGTTGTCCTAAACGAGTTAATTAACATGGAAAAAAAGGAAACGAAATTGTGTGATGTTCAAGGTCGACTTCTCCAAGGCATACGACTGTGTGGATTGGTCTTTTTTGAGGCAGATGTTGTCTTCCATAGGGTTTGGTTCGAGATGGTTGAGTTGGATGAATGGAGGGGTGTTCACGTCTGTTCTTATAAATGGTAGTCCCCTAGAAGATTTATGGGTGTTTTGTGGATTGAGGAAAGGAAATCAATTGTCTCATTTTCTCTTTTCAATTGTGCCAGAAGGTTTTACAGCTTTGGTCAATAGGGCATCTGACGTGGGCTTGTTTAAAGGCTTCAAAGTAAACGATGATATTACTCACAACCTCTTGTAGTTTGCAGACGATACTATCCTTTTGAGTGATGGAGATTAGTCTAAGTTATGTGCTTTTAAATCAATCTTGAAGGGTTTTGAATTGGTATCTGGATTGAAAGTTAATACCGGAAAGAGTTGCTTGTTTGGCATTGGTGTTAGTGATTTTTTCATGAAGGCAGCAAAGTAGTCTCTCACATATAAGATTGGTTATATTCCGTTTTAATTCTTGGGTCTTAGGGTTGGTGATAATCGTAGAAGGATTTTATATTAGAAGTTGGTCATCGATTGTTTCAAAAATAGGATGTCTCCATGGAAAGGGAGATTATTGTCTATTGGAGGTAGGGTGACATTGATTAATTCGGTGTTGACAAATTTTCCAATCCATCATTTGTCTTTCTTCAAGGCGTCATGGAAAGTGTTGGGTGAGCTAATATCATTACAGAGATACTCCTTATGGCATGGAACAGATGAAAGAAAAGGTATGGCTTGGGTGAGCTGGGACTCTATATCTAAGACTAAGGAGGACGAAGGCTTTGGTTTGAAAGATCTAAGGTTGTTCAATAGGGCTTGGTTGGAAAAGTGGCTATGGCGCTTCCTTACCGAATCTGATGCTATTTGGTGTGGGCTTTTGTGAGACAAATACGACGACTATGTAAAGTATATTTTGTCTAGGAAGGTATATGTAGCGAAACCACATGACTCGCTGTGGTGGAAGGATGTGTTGAGGATTAATTCTGATGTTGCAATTGTTTCATTTGGGGAACTGATTACCATTAGGTTGGGTGACGACGCATCAACACTGTTCTGGACTGCGAGATGGATGGATAGTGATATATTGAGGGAGCAATTTCCTGGACTGTATTCTATAGCTGCTAGGCGAGGCAGTATGCTGACAGAAATGAGGGCTTGGGATACAAATGGGTGAACTTGGAATTTGGAATTTCATAACTAGGTATTACCTTCTACATTTACGGTCGTTATCATGATCTATTTATGTTATTGCTGGAAGCTATGCCAACCAAGGATAAGGAGGATGCTATTCGTTGGCCTTGGGCCATTTAAATTGTTTCACAGTCAATTTGTTTTATTTTATAATGTTATTGGTTGTGGGCGACAGTGTGTTGGAGGAGCCTACCAAGGTTGTTATGCGCTATTTGTGGAAGTTATTTATTCGTTCCAAGGCAAAGTTGTTTGGATAGAGGCTTCTACTGGATAGGCTACCTACGATAAGCAATCTCTTTCGCCGTGGTATTCTCTCAAATCCTCATGATATTGTCAGCGTCTTATGTTTTGATTCAATTGAGTATGTTTGTCATCTTTTTATTTCCTGCCCTAAGATTAGGATTGTTTGGAGTAAAATTTGTGAATGGTTGAAAATAAGGGGGTGGGGGTAAAATTAGGATTGTTATCAATACATTTATTGTCTTGGCTAGAAAATCTTAGAGGAAGGTGCTCCAAAAAGCTTTCTTGTAGCTTATAGGTGGTGGTTTATTGGATTATTTGGTGGGCTAGAAACCAAGTACTTTTCAATGACGAGGTCGGTGATCCAGAGTTGATAGTGGTGAGAAGCATGTACTTCTCTTGGTGGTGGATATTAACACTTTCTAAGGGTAGAATCTCTTATAATTTTATGATTGCTATAAGCATCCTTTAGACTTTATGTAAGTGTGGGCATAGTTTATATTGGTTTGTTGGTTGTATTGTGGGTTGGGATACTCCTAGTACCCTGATGTTTGAATATATACTTGGCTTATAAAAAAACAAGGAAAAATAAAGATGGTCATCAAAATGTGATTGGGAAGGTAAATTGTAGTATTCAATTAGAATCTTGATAGAACATCATAAATACATAAATAAAAGTAAGTCATGATTTTAAATTGTGATCGTCGATGCGATGCAGTTAGATATGTTACAATTACAGTCATTATGGTTGTTGGGTTTCGTACTACCACACGTCGTTACACAAAAAATGCACAGAGTCGCCACCAAATTTCATTTATTCTGAAGAAAGGGAAAATATCGATAAAACACCCTAAAAAGTGAAGAATATGGTCTTGCAACCAAATTCGGGTTCGAAAGTCAGTTATACAAGGGGAAGATATTAGTACCCCTTACATCCGTTTTACTCAACGGGAACCATCTAAGTTGTCTATGCGTGAATCAGTGTCATCATATAAAGATCTACTTGCTAAAGGGGAAAATGAAGGGTTTTTTTATTAGGGTGCTCGCCAAGGATTGAGGTCCTCGTGCCTATGTATCGTCATAGTGAAATGAGGAATCATAGCTCCGTATTTTAGAGTAGAAAATAAGTGTGTGTTGGTTGATTTTATCTTGAAAAAAGGTTTTTGGGGTGATGCTCTAAGGTGCAAAAGAGTTTGATGAGTTAATGTTGTTTTTAGGGTTTTTGAACAAAGATTATTCTTGATTAGGGTTGCACTAAAGGCTATAGGTATAGGTGAATATTTCAAACTACCAAGTCAAGCGTCTTGTGTCTAAAATACTTAGAGTGATGGCAGAAAAGCTCGATTCTCACTCTTTCTCCACCACTTAAGGCTCGTGGCGCGCAATCCTAATCGTCTTTTATTGTGTTTTTGAGTTTACTGCGAAAATACCGCTTGACGTTGGATCAAGGGTTTTAGAAAGGTGGTGAAGTCGATCCTAGTCCCTAAGAAAAGCTAGCAAGCAAAACCAAACCAAAGAAAAGCGAGAAAGTAAAGAAAGTACATCAAAATGGGAGAGGGGTACATGAAAAATACAAAGGAAGTGTTGCAAGAAATAAAAAGGTCTCATTGTAAGGTAGCTCAAGAGTAAGACATGTGTGTGCAAGGTGTCCTAGGCTAGGAAAAGGAAAGAAAGCATTCAATTCCAAGTCTCCTTTAGCATAGGGTCAAACATTAAGTCTAAGGCTCCATGATCTAAGGTCAATCAATCAAGGTCCATGAGAGTCCATCCTTAAGTCACAAGTTAAATCTTTTCGGTTTTTTCATTTTATCATGTTTTTTGTTCTTTAATAAAAATATGAGACAAATGAAATAAAGAGAAATACGATGACAAAAGTAAATGATACATGAGTTAGATGAATACTGATGAGCATAAAAATAAATTGTAAGAAATATAAATGACAAAAAGATAAATGACAAGAATATAGATGACAAGAATATAAAGGACAGGAATTAAAAATAAGAAAGTAAAGTCAATAGGTAAATACTTAGTGAGTTAGGGTTAAGGATCGATTTATCACATTAGGGCAATTTATTGTTATATTAAGCAATCGTAAGTAGGATTATGTAGAAGTCATACCTATTTGAGGCCGGTTAATAACAATTTATGTGCTAGGCATGTTAGAGAACTAACACAAAGTTAGCCTCCTAAAATAATGCAACACAAAGACTTAAAAACAAAAGGGAAAAAAGATGAAGATGAGAATAAAAGTTAGGGAAATTATGTATGGATCATCTATCAACTACCTAAAGATTCAAAGTATGATCCAATAAGGGATAACTTATCTCTGATGCAAAGTTCTAAGAATGATCAGATGATTCATCAACATGTTTGCATCAAAGAAGGTTGAGTCACCTTAAGGACCACTCCTCAAGAATTTAAAAGGTTCAAAATATGATGACCTTACCAATCATTAAATGCCAAAACTAAAATAAACAAAGAAAAACAAAGGTGAAACCAAAAAAAAAAATCAAACAACAAGATTTTAAATTTAATTTTAAAATGTGAAAATAACGAAAATGATAAAATATAAAAAAGATAAAAAAAAATAAAAGGAAAAATAAAAAGAGATGATTAAGAGTAATAAAGGGTAAAATTACAAAGAAACAAAAAAAATATAAAAAAGAAACAAAAAAAAGATAAGGAAAATAAAATGAAAGGAACAAAGGGGGTGCAAAAAGGAAATTAGGAGAGTTCAAACAGTAAAAACGCAAGCCCAAATGTTCCAGAGCCCGTGACCAGCTTTGATTGAACAAGGAATTCATCGCGTGGACCCTCTAGTAATTAGATCCCTTGGATCTGATCTAAAGGCCCAAACACGCTGCCAAGAAGACTCATGTTATCCACGTGATCAAATGAGTAAAACAAATAATTAAAAGGGGCAACTTAGATCTAAGGGAGCACGCACTCTTGAGTCAAATAGCCCACATGTGGCAAGGTCAGAAACCTCATCATTTCCAACCAACTAAAATACGCCACACATAATGTTTGAATTCAAAAATTCCAGATCAACAAAAAGACACGAAGAACATTGTCTTCTTCCTTCAGCCAAGTGGAAAAAAAAAGTTATGCAACTCAAGGTTTTAAGTGGAATCAAGCATGGATTCCACTTCTCCTTTGATCATCATTGCTTCCCCCATGCTCAGGGTCCATTGATTCGACCTGAGTATGGATAATTTTAACTTATACCATGAAGAACATAAACCCTGATTTAAAAATTAAATGACCAAGACAAAGAAATTTAAGCTCAAAACATGGGGTTAATCACCAGTGAATCATTTCAAGTAGGATGGTAACTTGTTTAAAGTAAAACGATGGTGATTTCTACCTTGTCAGAAAAAGTTGCAGAGGTGGATTCTGGTGAGTTATAGAGCTCTGGTGAGGTGGATTTGACTGGCTCTCTTAGTCTAGTTAGCTTTAGGGAAGTTCATGGAAATTGCTTAGATGCTCAGAGTGTTTTGAAAATGGTTCAAACTCTCCACCTGGATGCTTTGTTTAGAAGTGATTTTTGGAACAATTTATGCACGGGTTTGATGGATGTGAAGCTTTGGAAAAGAGTGGAAATGAATGATCTATTTATAGGGAAGCTTATAGGTACTTCATATGTGTGAAATGGTTGAGAAATCGTGTGGATCTGAAAATGAGAATTGGAGACTTGGTGGCCAAGGATTGATGAGCTAACACATAAATTTTAGGGTGCAATCCTCCTCTCATTTCGTGTTTCACAGAAGGGAATATTTTACAATAATTTTTGGGCCCCCAATCATTCTAGAAGCTCCTTTAATTCGGCATTTTTCTTGTACTCGTGTTGACGCGTTTTTGTGTTTTGTGGACCTTACTTTTGCTGCACATGTTCCATACTTGTGACCTTCATTTCGGCCTATATTTGATGCCTTCTATTGTTGCTACACATACCTTGATGGTTTGAGAATGAATGAACATGATTTGGTGACTTGGAGTGTTGAGGTATGGTTGTTTTGGCTAAGTCTGGTTGATGTACACAACTTGGCAAAACAAAAAATTCAAGCTTAGGCCAAATCAAATTGGTTCGTGCATTTTAGGCCAAATTTAGGTCGAACAATATTTGATATGATCTTAACAAGACGCAAAAAGAACCAGGGCAAAAGGAGGCTTGAGGTGAAAATGGCATAGGTGTAAAGTAGTGGTTATGACATTATTTTAGGCCTGCATTGGCATCTTGACTTGTTTTGGCCAATTCAAAATTTGAGGTCTTTAGAAGTTGAATTAGGGCTTAAGTCTTGAAACAAAGTTGAAGAGGAATCCATTTGTGACATTTGGCTCAAATTAGATCTCAAAAAAATTGAGAAATGAGAAGTATATGGGGTTTGGATCAAATAGTAGGCCAAACATGGAAATTAGGCTAACAAACTATGCACCAACTTGTGATCTTTGATATTTCATGGAATCCCAAGGCACAATGATGCCCATTTAAATATGAGGATATTTTGAAGATTGAATGAAATGGTGTAGAAACAGACATATGAACCATACTTGAACCATTGAAACAAATTGAATCCTTTGACCATGATGTAACCCTAATGTTATAATCAACAAGCCTTGATTATGATCTTTAACTCCCCTTTACTTGAATTGGAACTATGACTAAAGGTGAGAAAATACTTAGAAGGGGGGGTTGAATAAGTATGAAGATTAAAACTTAGAAATAAAAACTCAAGTATTTTT